ATATTGGTGTATGTTCCCTCGAGTCCATTTATATAATTTATGATGTTTATTGACTTAAGTGTATTGAACCATCTATGCATCTCTGGAATAAAGCCAACTTGATCATGATGGATCATCTTTTCTTTTTGATGTGTGTCTGTAGGCGGTTTGCAAGTATCTTGTTGAGAATTTTTGCATCTATGTTCATTAAGGATATGGGTCTATAGTTTTCCTTTTTGGTTGTATCTTTACCTGGCTTTGGTATTGGAGTGATGCTGGCTTCAAATAAGGAATTTGGGAGTTCTCTCTCCATTTCTATTTTTTTGAATAACAAGTAGTTTTGGATGTAGATCCTCTTCAAATGTCTGGTAGAATTCTGCTATAAATCCATCTGGTCCTGGGCTTTTTTTTTTGGGGGGAGTTTTCATATTGCTGTTTCAATTTCCTTATGTTATGGGTCTGTTTAAGCTGTTGATCTCTTCTTGGTTTAGCTTTGGTGATTCATGATTTTAGACATACCTCCATGTTTTTAGGTTTTCAAATTTAATAGTGTATAGGTTTTTAAACTGTTCCCTTACAATGTTCTGAATCTTTTTGATGTCTGTTGTGATGTTCCCCCTTTCAGCTCTGATTTTGTTAATTTAGAATTCCTCCTTCTTTCTTTTTTGTAACTGGGATAAGTGCTTATCTTCTCAAAGAACCAGCTCTTGGAATTGTTGATTCTTTGTATTGTTTTCTTTGTTTCTATTCCATTAATTTCTGCTGATTTTTGTCATTTCTTCTTGTCTGCTGGGTTTGGGTTTCATTTGTTGTTGCTTTTCAAGTGTGTTAAGTTGCAATGTTAAGTCATTTATTTGTGATCTTTCTGATTTTTCAATGTAGGCACTTAGAGCTAAAAACTTCCCTCTAAGGACAACTTTCAGCATGTCCCAAACATTCTGTTGTGTTGTACTGTCCTTTTCATTTAGTTTCAGGAATACTTTTATTTCTTTCTTAATTTCTCTTTCGACCCAGTCATCATACAGGAGTGTGATGTTTAATCTCTTATGTTCATGTAGCTACTAGGGTTTCTTCCGGTGTTGATTGTAAGCTTTATTGCATTGTGGTCTGATAGAATGCATGGAATTATTTCAAACTTTTTGTATTTGTTGAGGTTT